CCCTATCAAGGTGATTTTCCTTTCTCCACAAGGACTTAATCCACTATATTCAAACAGATTACATTGTCAACCACTAAGAACAACTGTCTTAGTCTTCTCAAGAAATCCTGACCACAACTTGGTCTTCTTAAGGAACCTTTTACAAATTAATGTAAAGTAAACAAGTGTTTAAGATGCTTCTAAAAAGCTATATCACAAACTGTGATTTATACACTTAGATTAAGAACGAATAAAAACTATTCAGCTTATCAAATAAATTGTATGAGAGCTTGAAAGTAGTTTTCAGTTTGATGAATCAAATGAATCGTCAACTTTGAAATGTTGTTGAAGATGTCCTTTTATAGACTAGAAATTCCAATGCTTGAGGGCAGTGCCTTAGTGTGTAGCTATAGCCTTTTGTCTTCTATTGACTCTAGCTTTCCCAGAAGAGGAATGATCAGACAAATCCCTTTTGTCTGTTTTCCTGTACCATACATGAATAAGGAAAGAGTCGTTTGGAATATGCCAATGAATATATTTTTGAATAATATTTTCTTTAACAAGCTTCTGTCTCAAAGTTATCAACATCAGAGTCTTGATGTTATCAGAGTTTTGTAGCCAGTGCTTTCAGCGTGAATATCAATCAGAGCAGAGTTTGAATAACAAAGCCTCTGTACTTGCAGCGTAAAGTACTTCAGAGTCTTCTTGAAACAATTCTTGAAATTCTTCATACAATTTCTTCAACTACGCTTCAGAGTCTTTTGTAGCTTCTGCTTCAGAGTCTTCTACAGCTTCTGCTTCAGAGTCTCTTCTGGAAGCGCTTAGAGTCTTCTGATGACTTGCTTCTGATGCATCAGAGCTTGCGTAGAGTAATGTTCAGATGCATTTTTGCTTCCATAAGAATATTTATTTTAATATCTGAAACAAAAACACTTGAACAAAATTAGAGTATATATTTTCTTAATACAAAATTTCATTAGAGTTATCATCAAAATATAGAGATAATATTAAACACCAATCTGTGTTATAACAACATCACCTACATCTGGGGGCTACCAAGTCAGGAAGGAAATCCACTATTAGTAGTATTAATTCAGAGCTAAACGCCCAGTTTACAACCCGTCACTTAATACCTACCCAATGCAATTTCTGCCTAGAACCCACTAGACAAGAGACACCTCTCACTCCCCACAATCACAGCAGTGATAACAACTAATGAACAAGTTTTAGAAGACACTCTTCCAAGACAATACTTGATTTTGCTTAACAGCTTCAATCAAGAACAATACACTTTTGCTTACAAGCTTTGAGTGAATAATTAACAATTAACAAATAACAACTAACAGCCTAAACATGTCTACCACGATGCATCCAAAGATACAAAGGGTGACTTACAAAGTCACACACACAAGACTCTCAAAACCCTAAACCCTTATTTTACACTCAAGTTTTCTTGTTTTGAGTGCTTGTCTTCACTAGGGTTTTGGCCTCCTTAAATAGTAATGCAGACTGGGTTTGGGCTGGTCATAAGTAACAACAGGAAGAGAAGATTTCAATCTTCATTAATTGCAACAGATTTGATTTGATCAATCAAATCTAATCATATCATTCTTTCAATCTTTTGTTGATAGAACCCTTGCAAGTCATGAGTGGTGAAAATAAATCACCTCCCACTATCTTCTCTAAAACAACCTTCAGCAACTTGTAATACAACAGTCAACAACAGCACAAACAAAGCAACATCCAGCAGGATCAACATCCTATATATATATATATATATATATATATATATATATATATATATATATATATATATATATATATATATATATATATATATATATATAAACTCAATTAATGGCCTTTTGGATTATTTGTAACAACAGGAAAAGCAACATCATGCAGGATCAACATCCTCTCTCTCTCTCTCTCTCTCTCTCTCTCTCTCTCTCTCTCTCTCTCTATATATATATATATATATATATATATATATATATATATATATATATATATATATATATATATATATATATATATATATATATATATATATATATATATATATATATATATATATATATATATATATATATATATATATATATATATATATATATATATATATATATATATATATATATATAAACTCAATTAATGGCCATTTGGATTATTTGTTTCAATATATATTCTACCAATACAACATATTTACAATTGAACACACGAGATGATTCTTCAACCAAAATTATTTGAGGATCAACCCTATTCCATTAACACAATAGGGCAAGCTTGATTTACATATAAGGAAAGATGGGATAGATGTCCGACATAAATGGCTTATCTCCGTCCGTAAATAGAAGTTATTTGTAAATGTGGCAGACAGGAAGTCAGTCAGTTAAATTAGATTTACAAATCATTGAATTAGAGGGAACTTCTCAGTTGAGTTTATTAGTGAAATAAGTTATTCTTCTTTATTATAAAACTAGGTTATAGTTAAGAAACCATATAAAGAATGGATTTCACTACTCTCTCAACCAAGCATGTCTAAAGGACCTGTATCTGTTTCCTAATATTGATAGGGTAAGCTTAAAGACACATATTTCTTAGCTTTATAGATATATACTCGGATTACAATCATGTTTAAATTGTAGATTTGTGTGCATGCATGTACAATGATTTACATATGATCTTTGGAATTTTTTTTGAGACTTCGAAAACAGTAAAAAATTAATTAAAAATAGAAAAAAGAGGAATTTGGAGATTTGAGGGGCCAACTCCCGTAACTCTTCCAGAGTAGGGGACTTTTGATCACATGATTTTTCTGCTTCAAGTGCACGAAACAGATCTAAAAAAGGAGGCGATTTTCCCAAAACCAGGTTTTTTTGACTAGGTTTGACGAGAAACGGGATGACCGGACGCGAAAATGCAAGAAAATACACAAAAATGCAGAAAATTGAAACAAACAAAACCTAAAACTAGACTATTGATCAACAAGAATCCTCGGCAACGACGCCAATTTGATTTGCTGTCGCGCGCATATCACAACCGAGTGATTTAAAAAAATCGTTTTAAAGCGACAGTAACTCAGATGTTGATTCACAAGGATTCTTATTTATAGAATAGCCAATTAAAAACGATTATGGAAGGGGGGTTGTTTTGATTTATGATTCGACTACGAAAGTAAGCAGTAAAATAAGTGATTTTGGAGTAAGTGATTAAAACAGGTAAATCTACCGGTTCGACTCCCAACTTATCATCGGTCATTCCAATTCCAATTCCCAAGCAGTTTCATTCCTTTTTTAAAGCAATATTGATGAACAAGCATCGACAATACCGCACGACTTATATTCATAATTACCGAATTAAGCAGACGGTTAAAGATAGCACAAATTAACGAAAAAGCTAAGTTAATCCGCGATTAAGTTAAGGAACATCGATCAGTTGAATTAAATCCAATTTATTTTATAAGAACGAATTAAGCAAACGAAAATTATAAAACAAATTGGAATGAAATGAAATTAAATCGGAATTATAATAAACCTCAAAGGATTACGGGATTCGAAATCGACAGATTTTTCCTCAAGATTAGTTCGCCATGGAAAACATTAAAAGCAAAAGAAATTTCAGAAAAACTAGGGTAGCCGTCACTGTAGCACGACAGCAACCGTATAAACAGAATAAGGTTTGCATTACACACTCAACTGGGTCGGAAACATAAACCAGACTCAATAGGGCAAAACAATTAAGTTATTACAGTCAGAAACTTCAACGAATTATTCGAGACTCAAACAATCCGAATCAACTTCTTCGTGAAACACGAAAGTTATAGATATTTTCCCTAGCTTTCCAACGACTGGTAGAACGTATCGATCCGATTCCTGTAGCTACAGTTATGAATTTTTTATTAAAAGTTGCTAATGCTGAAAATAACAAACGAAAATCAAATAAGGCTTAAAATAAAGTGAATTGTACAAACATCATAAAATAGTAAATTAAACAAACTAAACTATAGAAATGCTTAAGTCTAAACATAGAGGAAGGTGCATCAAAATGCACTGATCAAAGTTCTTTATAAACAGACAATTCTACGTCAACTAAATCTATGAAGAGGAAAGAGAAAACTCTTGAGGTTGGGAAATATGTTGTGTCTTTGGCATATGGGTAAATGAGTAACAAAAGAGTAGAGTATATTATAGTTAGAATAACTTTAAATCTCGTCTGTGATACCTTATATATAAGAGACATTTAAAGATGCATCGTGCTTCCCGACGTAGAACGCGAGAAACCGTAAGATAATATCCAACGGTGATAACTACCAGTGGCATTAATCGAGTACATGGTCTCAAGATGGTGAGTGCATTGTACTATCAATATCTTATAACTTTAGAATGATATTGGACCTCCTTTATTGGATCTCTAACCGGCTGGCAAAAAGAAAATGTATTTACTTAAAAATTAAAGGAATAGATATTCAGCTATTTAGATACATTTATTTTATCAATCCAGTAACTTTTAAAGACAAAAATACCCTACTCCAACAAGTTGAACTACTCTTGAAGTTATTTAAATATTAATAACAAGCCTGGTTGAACATTCACGATCCTTATTTTATTTATTGACATAAAGATGAGGTTTAAGAGTAATAACAAATTAATATTTTAAATAAATGTTATATAAATCTATGCTAACCAATTATGCAGAGGAATATTATTACTTCATGGCATTGATTCCCTTATCAACACAAGCTTTAGATATGAATGGTATAAAATTCTACTTTATTTTATTCACCCATATGCATCTAGCAAGCATATATAGTAACACTAATTAAAGTGTGACAATTGACATAGACTATACCATTATTGAATCATATTCTTCACACAATACTATCTTCATTTGCATTCACATTCATTAATTAAATATTCTCTTCTCCACTCAAACTCTATTAAAGGAACACCAATTCCTCAAACACATACCAAACCTATCAAAAAAACACATTCATAACAAGTTTTTCACTTATTCAAACAATGGCAGGTATTGCATCTGGAATTTGCAGCCTTGCTGTCGGCGGCGATGCACAACGCAAACCAACACAAGCACAACAGTGTTGTTCCAACGGTAACACTCTTGCTCCTTCTACTCCTGCTCCTACGCCTTCACCTTCGCCTGTGCAGCAGTTATATGAAGAGTTTGCCTATTCAAATACCGGAAAACAAAACATCAAAGGTCTTACTAATCAAACTGGCTATGTTAAGGGTAATGCTAATGGAGTCATCAACTTTGGTTCCTTGTTAGCCTCTGCTAATGCTCAAAGGCAAGCATGAATGAATGAATCCATGAAGCAATAATGTATATCTGGTGGAGGCAACTCAATATAATTACTAACTAAATAAATATTATGTTCTGTTGTTGCCTATCGTATTATAATATGTGTTACACCATCATAGCCATTATAATACAATAAAATGCTAGTTAAATTTCAAATATATTAATTAAATTTTCACTTCATATATATATATATATATATATATATATATATATATATATATATATATATATATATATATATATATATATATATATATATATATATATATATATATATATATATATATATATATATATATATATATATATATATATATATATATATATATATATATATATATATATATATATATATATATATATATATATATATATATATATATATATATATATAAACACAATTAATGGCCTTTTGGATTATTTGTTTCAATATATATTCTACCAATACAACATATTTACAATTGAACACACAAGATGATTCTTCAACCAAAATTATTTGAGGATCAACCCTATTCCATTAACACAATAGGGCAAGCTTAATTTACATATAAGGAAAGATGGGATAGATGTCCGACATAAATGGCTTATTTCCGTCCGTAAATAGAAGTTATTTGTAAATGTGGCAGACAGGAAGTCAGTCAGTTAAATTAGATTTACAAATCATTGAATTAGAGGGAACTTCTCAATTGAGTTTATTAGTGAAATAAGTTATTCTTCTTTATTATAAAACTAGGTTCTAGTTAAGAAACCATATAAAAATGGATTTCACTACTTTCTCAACCAAGCATGTCTAAAGGACCTTTATCCGTTTCCTAATATTGATAGGGTAAGCTTAAAGACACATATTTCTCAGCTCTATGGATATATACTCGGATTACAATCATGTTTAAATTGTGGAGTTATGGGCAAAACAACTAAATTATTACAGTCAGAAACTTCAACGAATTATTTGAGACTCAAGAAATCCGAATCAACTTCTTCGTGCAACATGAAAATTGTAGATATTTTCCTTAGCTTTCCAACGACTGGTAGAACGCATCAATCCGATTCCTGTAGCTCCAGTTATGAAATTTTTATTAAAAGCTGCTAATGCTGAAATAACAAACGAAAATCAAATAAGTCTGAAAATAAATTGAATTGTAAAAACATCATAAAATAGTAAATTAAACAAACTAAACTATAGAAATGCTTAAGTCTAAACATAGAGGAAGGTGCATCAAAATGCACTGATCAAAGTTCTTTATAAACAGACAATCCTACGTCAACTAAATCAATGAAGAGGAAAGAGAAAACTCTTGAGTTTGGGAAATATGTTGTGTCTTTGGCATATGGGTAAACGAGTAACAAAAGAGTAGAGTATATTATAATTATAACAACTTTAAATCTCGCTTGTGATACCTTATATATAAGAGACATTTAAAGATGCATCGTGCTTCCTGACGTAGAACGCGAGAAACCGTAAGATAATATCCAACGATGATAACCACCAGTGGCATTAATCGAGTACATGGTCTCAAGATGGTGAGTGCATTGTACTATCAATATCTTATAACTTTAGAATGATATTGGGCCTCTTTTATTGGATCTCTAATCGGCTGGCAAAAACAAAATGTATTTATTTAAAAATTAAAGGAATAGATATTCAGCTAATTAGATACATTTTACTTATATTTTATTAATCCAGTAACTTTTTAAGACAAAAATACCCTACTCCAACAAGTTGAACTACTCTTGAAGTTATTTAAATATTAATAACAAGCTTGGTTGAACATTCATGATCCTTATTTTATTTATTAACATAAAGATGAGGTTTGAAAACCACAGGACCCAAACCATCGCAAACGAAGATCCTCCATGAAAACCGGACTCAGACAATCGTCATCATCGTCCGCAAACCGTCAAAGAACCAACAAATCCAAATTGAAAACCGCAAGCGCCATTAACTGTTTTTGGTTGTTTTTTTTTCTAGAGAAAATAAATAGAAGAAGAAGAAGATAGTCATGACCGGAAAAGAGGTTTCTGGACAAAAAGAAGAAAACGACATCGCGGCCATGAGAGAAAGAGGAAAGAAGAAGTGAAAATCTCAGAGAGAAGAGAAACAAGAGAGGGCGCCGTTGACCCCTTAGGGTTTTAGGGTTAACAAACCCTTCTGCCCCCCTAACACTACCGGGTCGGGTCTGGGGATTCATCACCCAGCCCGACCCATTTCCTTTTTTTTAATGTTTTTTTATTATTTGTTTTTTTTTAAAATCTTTTTTGTAATAATTAATAAATAAATAAAACTAACTACTAACTAACTAATCCCTAACTTATTTCAAAAATAATTAAATCTGAAAATATTTTTATTAAATATATATAAAAAATACAAAAAATGCTTATTTTAATTTTTTAAGTTAATCTCCTTTTTTTAATAGATAAAAAATCAAAAAACATTTTTTTAGAATTTAGAACTTTTTTTTAAAAAATAAATAAAACTCTTTTTTTAAAGATTAACCATTAATTAATTTTAACTTGTTATTTAACCTAGTTTATTTTTAATTACAAAATTCTCAAAAAATCAAAAACAATTAGTTTCACTTTCTAACTGCTAGGTCAATTACAATCTCATCGCTTAATTCCAACTTAACCATATATCATTGTTATCATCGCTTGTACATATCTCATACTTACCAATTCACATCATTATTCTCATATCTTTGCTTTCATCATTATTTATCGCTTTATTTTACCGTTTATATCCCCTCTAAAGGAAAGGTTCATCGTTTGACCGCCGTGTCAATACCTTCACCCTCGCCCATCCTAACCTTAGAATTCGAGTCACCCTACTCGTGCTTAGGCGTCCCGCCGTAGACACACACCCTTACCTCTTTCTAAACCTTAAGATTTGAGTCGCCGTACTCATGCTTAGGCGTTCTGCCATGGACATCCACCCCTTTATCCTAACCTTAGGATTAGGAGTCACCGCACTCCATGTAAGTTTCCGCCGTGGAATACTTACTCATACCCTTTTCATTTCAACTTTGCAACATAGAATCGGAGTCGCCGCACTCTAAGTAAGCGCTTCCATGAGAATGTTTACATCCCCCTTGGAACCTTGACCATAGCCAAGAATTTCCTCTTCCTCCCTCTATGAGGGGAACTACGATTACTCTGATTCCATCTCCTACCTCGGATACGTAGGCACAAGATGCGAATCTTGACGAGTATACTTAGGACCAACCCCTTAGGTTCTTCTCTTTACCTTTAACCCTTAGCATTACCCTTAAGCAGATAACCATAGCAATAACGCATTAAAACAAGAGGTTCCTGTAGAGTACTACAGAAGTTTAGGATGCTAATACCTTCCCTAAGCTTAACCAACCCCCGAACCCTAGATCTTTCCCCGCATTGTGTTTACGATCCAAACTAGGGTTTTCCTTTCTTTAACCTTTCCTTCAGATAAATTAAAGACCGGTTGTGAATCAAGATTGTGACTCAAATTAATCAATAATTTGATATCCTATTCTCACCGCAACAGAAAATGGCGACTTCACTGGGGAAGAATGTCATATCTTTTTAGGGTTATCCTTATCTTGTTTATTTATGCTATTTGCTTTATTATTTTCTTGTATATATTGTGGTACATTGCTTGGGGTTACATCATTGTTGTGAGATAAGTACTACACCCGGACTTGAGCGCAATTATTGTAGGAAAGTGATATATTCAACGAGGCTTATAGGGAGGTGAATCTCGACCAAGCTAACTTGAGAATCATCGCTCAGTTGAGGCCCTCTCGAAAACAATATTGTTGAACGAGTAATCGTGAAAACATTCACTATTTTCGATTGGAGCCTGTGATACTAGGGACCGTAGTTACCTAAACACAACTTTGGCCTTACTAGGACATAGTGTGAGGACTATGAGGGAGTATTCCCAAAATAGTTGCTACACGATACTACACTCAAAAGAGGTTCTCTTGAGAATATTATTAACCACCGAGTTAATCGAGAAATTGATAATATCCGAAAGACAGACTAATGACTTTGGGCACCTCTTTAGAACCTTGTTTTGCAGATACAATTAACCCATAGTACATACCTTTCGGGATGGGTAGACCTTGGCTCCGCTCATGTTCCTCTAACCTAGGACCTTTGTTTGCTTTGTATGTTTGTGCATTCCATCCAGCATCATATCATTCCTGGTTTCAAGGAATTCATCTGTCTTTTGAAAGTTCAAAAAGAATCTTGCATTTCAAAATCTAAAACTGTTAGAACACAGATTGGTGTTTCTTATATCTGTATGTTTTGATGATAACTTTTATGGAATTTTATAGTAAGAAAATATACACTCTAAAATTTGTTCAAGTATTATTGTTTCAGGTATAAAATTAAATACTCTTAAAGAAGCAAAATACATAAGTACAAGAAACTATGCAAGGCTCTGAAGCATCAGATGCAAGACTATCAGAAGATTCTGAAGCGATGCCAGAAGGATCTGAAGCAGAAGCTACAGAATAATCTGAAGTGTTAATAAAAGAAGTATACAAAAGTTGAAAGCTCTGATATTATCAAACTCTGAAGTTCTCTTCACTGCAAGTTCAGAGGCTTTGATAACTAGACTCTTATCATTAATATTCACGCTCAAAACACATACTGCTGCACACTCTGATAAAGACTCTGATCAAGACTGAGACTCTGATATATTAAAGATCTGATCATCTATCAAAACTATGATCATCTCATTCATTCTAGCTCTGATCATCTTGAAGTATTTCATACCTTTAAACTTGTTACACGCTCTGAAGTGCAGATTATGAAGACTTCATCTTGAAAGAAGCTTGTTGAAGAAGCTGTAAACTTAATTAGATGTGGTGCTACTTCCAAAGTAACCAACGGCTAAATTGTCCAAAGAAGTGACGTGGTGCAAATCTCAAGGCTTTTACAACCATACCTTTCTGCAGAAAGCATATCTCTGCCCATACTTTTGGTGATGAAAAGTCTTACAAACTTAATATTA